AACTCTTGAGCAACGATTGCCCAGATGACACTAATTCTGTGTTTAAACTAACAGCTGTGCTTGTCACTGCTGACTGGTGAAATGCATTGTGGGAAACGATGCTGATAAAGCAGTGAGACCTCTTCTGTCTTCTGTTTCAGGGACAACTCGAGCTTCAGGAACACCAAGATCTCTGTCTGAGGTCACCGGGGTCAGCCCAATGGCCCTCTGACCAAACAGGAACTGCCGTGGTGTTACTCTGCTCTCTCATTGGCCAGAGGATGGCCACATGGACCAATAAACTGACTGAACTGGACTGACGGTGTTAGTTTGTATCTCTGAATTTTGTGCTGGTGTAAATAAAACTGAGTCTTCTTTAAACTCTGAGTGTGACTCTTTAATCCCAGCTGGCACCTCTGGGTCCCAGAGCAGTATAAAGACCTGTCCCAGGATATTCCAGGATGGTAGCTGAGACTAATCTGGGTCTATTCCAGGCTGCAGTCCAGCAGGGAGCTGAGCAGTTGGACTTGATCCAGGCCGGGATTAGCAGATCAGAGGTACCATCATCGGTACCTGATCCAGCTCACCCGTCTGATCGCATGATTCACCTCCCCTGCAGCTCCTTACACAGGAAGACGCCCTCTTACCACAGGCTGTGACACTACAGCGAGGTGCTGACATCATCAGCAGGAAGTGAAGACGTGACAACAAAACACAGGTGGATGCAAAATTCCTCTCTCTCCGCTGTAAGTGAATGTAGCTCGACCATGATGATTCTCTCTCTCCACTGTAAGTGGATGTAGCTCGACCATGATTCTCTCTCTCTCTCTCCACTGTAAGTGGATGTTGTAGCTCGACCATGATTCTCTCTCTCCGCTGTAAGTGAATGTAGCTCGACCATGATGATTCTCTCTCTCCACTGTAAGTGGATGTAGCTCGACCATGATTCTCTCTCTCCGCTGTAAGTGGATGTAGCTCGACCATGATTCTCTCTCTCTCTCCACTGTGAGTGGATGTAGCTCGACCATGATTCTCTCTCTCTCTCTCTC